CAGGAGTTTGGTGCTGACACGGGGGCTTCTTCCCCCCCGAGCTCCCCGCCTCGGAGCCAGTTGGGGAGGTGGTACCCGCGGGGCTCCACTGAAACGAGCCTCCCTCGGGTCTCCTCAGAGCTCAGGACAGGCCTTTAAAACAAGGCCTCAGCACCCACACAGCTTGTTCCTTGCATAGCACAAGCGGCGGTGTACGCCAGGTTGTTCCACCATTTACACCAAGTGCTTTGGAGAACCCCCTTCCCGTGGTTATGGAAGTGGGATAGAAAGCACTGAGTTTGTCAGCGCTGGGCTGGAATCAATTAGTGTGTTTTGCTTATCACGATGATAGGATGATAGTGTGGTGCAGTGTGGGGTATGTAGTGAAATGCAGCATTGCCTGGCACTGGTAGGATGGAGCGGTTATAAAATTAGATTCTGGTTACAGTTGTAATTGTGGTGGAGTTTAGGCTTTGGTGCTGAAATCAATTACAGAAATCTTGTGGTTTAACCCAGCAGGCAGCCAAACACCACACAGCTGGTCACTCCCTTCCCCCCAGGTGGGATAGGGGAGAGAATTTGGACCAAAAAAAAAGTAAAATTTATGGTTTGAGATAAAGACAGTTTAATAGACTAGAGAAAAGAAGGGAAAATAATCATCATCATCATAAAAGAATACACAGAGTAAGTGATGCACAGTGCAGTTGCCTACAACCCACTGACTGATGCCCAGCCAGTTCCCAAGCAGTAGCTCCCAGCCAGTTTTCCCCCTAGTTTATATGCTGAGCATGATGTCATACACTATGGAACATCCTTTTGGCCAGTTTGGGTCAGCTCTTCTGGCTGTGCCCCCTCCCAGCCTCTTGTGCCCCCAGCCTTCTTGCTGAGAAGTTGAAAAGTCCTTGACTTAGTATAAACATTGCTTAGCAATAACTAAAACGTCAGGATGTAATCAACACTGTTCTTCTCCTAACTCCAAAACAATGCACTGTAATGGCTACTAGGAAGAAAATTAACTAGCCCAGCCAAAGCCAGGACAAGAAGCTAATGCTTGACTTGGGCTACAGACCTTTTCCAGGCTTTAGAGGTGTTGCTGTGGAATGTAAACGTGCCCTTTCTTAGCATAAAAACAGTGTTCCAAATATGCATTTTCTACTTCAAGGGATCATTATAGGCACCTAATTCTATTCTGGTCACCAGAATAGTCTGCAGCAGACATTTCGGAAAGTGCTTATTGCTTTTTCATCTGCTCAGGACATGTGCAGAATGTGCTGCACCAATTGGCTACAAGATCCCAAAGCTGCCACTCGTCTCGAAAATCGAAATTGATGCCTGCAGCACTGATGTCAATTTGTATGTATAAAGGCTTCGTACAGCAAAGGGAAATGTACTGCCAGACAGCAGGAGGAATATATGAGAAAAGAACCAGAACCATAAGGGATACTTTATCAGTGTAATGTCTGTTTTATTCACCTGGCATAAGATTCGCCGATTTTACGGAGTGAAGGAATACTGGTTCTGCTACCCACTTAATAGCTGTGTCTGCTGCCATTACTGAAACATTAGCAGGGTCATTTGAAACGTGACTGCAAGATATATTAAGCTGAAGATCACCTGCGGTGTGATGGTGCTTATTCTCAGCCTGTCCCTGTATCCTCTCTCCCACAGCAGCCATTCCTTACTGAAGATGGACAGCCTTTCCTCAGTTTTCCTAGTTTGCACAGGGGAGGCTTCACCCGCCTTAGAATCATGGAATGGTTTGGGTTAGAAGGGACCTTAAAGCCCACCCAGTCCCACCCCCTGCCATGGGCAGGGACACCTTCCACTAGACCAGGTTGCTCCAAGCCTCATCCAGCCTGGCCTTGGACATTTCCAGGGATGGGGCATCCACAGCTTCTCTGGGCAACCTGTCCCAGTGCCTCCCCACCCTCTGTGGGAAGAATTCCTTCCTGATATCTAATCTAAACCTCCCCACTTTCAATTTAAACCCATTACCCCTTGTCCTGTCACTACAGGCCCTTGGAAAAAGTTCCCCCCCAGCTTCCTTGTAGGCCCCCCCCGCCTTGTGCTCAGCCTGTGCCAGTGTCCCAAGGGCAGACGAGCCATGTCATTTTATCCTGACATGTGTCTGTTGCTACTATTCTTATGCATGTATCCATTTTAATAATTTATGTGTGATGTCATCCAGCAGCCATGCAGAGTTCTGGTCGACTTGGCCCCCATTGTACCATAGAAAACCGAGCTGACGTGCCATCCAGGCTGCTAAACAGAGGTCACGGCAAGGCAGAGGCACCAGCCCGAGGCACCTAGCAAAGGTTTAGGTATTAGCAAAGTCTTTCCAACTTACTAGACCAAAATAGAAATCCCTTTACCCTTCACAAGCTGTTCAGTGTCTTTCATGCTGCTTTTCCCTAATCAATTAGAAACTATTCTTAGCCTGCACCGTGACTTTCTAACTTCCATCCTCATATGTTTTCCTGTTTGATGCTTTAGAATAAAACAGGCGGCAAAATTGGCCAGAGAAATCCCACAGATTTCGCAGCAGTGGCCAATAAAGGTGAGAAGGAAACTTCCCAGCAATATTCTCCACCTGTGTATTCACAGTTGATCCATCAGATCCTTTTGAGCAGAGTGTAAGGTCCGTTAGGGAAGTCACGCGCCTCGTTATTCTCGTTGGCCAGGCTGGGGAGAGGAAGGAAAACCATCTGCATTCCGGAGCAGCGGAGAGGCGTCGCCAGCATCCTGCGCTGCACCGAGAATTCACCTGCTCCTTCACTGTCCTCCTCACAGGCCTGGAAATGAGGTTTAAAATGCTGTGGAGGTTTAAAGACAGACTTGTGTGCTACTTTTATCCCTTCCCAGATTGCTGACCCTGAGACCTGTGACCGAATGTACGAGAGCTTAGTCAGAATCCACACCAACTACTACAAAACCAAGGTGAGCTTTGGTACCAGCCATCATCCCTCCCTTAGGGGGTGAGTCGCTCCTGCTGCGGTTGGCTGCCACGTCCCAGCGGGGTTTCTGGGAGCATCTAGGAGCCAAATGAGCGGTTGGGGGGATGCAGCGCTCCCCGGTGCCTTTGCTTGCTCCAGCAAAGCTGCAGGCTTCGTGGCCTCTGTGACGTGTATGAACACCCAGATGATAGTTCTTGGTAGGGGTAACAGAATTCTTAGGGATTGGCTGAAAATGAGCTCAGACTTTACTGTTTGGACATTTTTACCTGTTTTAGTGCACCACAAGTAACATCTTTTTCTCTCCTTCTCTCACCTACTTACGAAGTATCCGCGCCTGAGAGACACAAGCTTCACTGGGGTGACAGTGGAAGATTGCAAGATGATACTAGCAACAGGTACTAAAGCACTGTGACTGGAGGAGAGAACGGCGCTGCCGTGCAACTGTGTTAGGCTGTTTACTGAGGAGGAAGTTCAGGAATAATTGAGGAGGTCTTCAGTAATCTCTTAGGGCGAACAGTCGATTGTATTCAGCGCTGGGGCAGGAGCAGCAGCGGGTTTGCAAAGAGTTTGTTGAGCTCAGATAGCAGGAGCCGTGTGAAAGAAATGCACATTTGCTGCATCATTCCAAAAATTCTCAGGTTCTGTTTCACCATGTTCAAATTCCCTTCAGTATTTCTCCTTTTTGTATTAGACTGTGAGGAAAAAA